GACTGCTTAAGGTCATTATGGCATAAGGCTACCGGTGGTCATGTAGCAATCACTTTTAGCCTTGGGTTTGGTGACGTCAGGATTCGATGCATGGAACCAATCAGTTAGATCAGAAGGTCGTTAGGGCCACAGTGACAAGATAACTAGTAGCAGCTAGATCCATAGAAGGATTTCGTTCAGAAGTCGTGCGAGGCGGCTAAGCAGGTAGTCCTTTGACTCCGCAGTTGGGCTGGAACCCGATATTTCAGATGATTGGCGGAAAATTGAGACCTGGTAGATCTCGGTAGATGTCAGGAAGCAGCCATGTGGCAGCATACAGTTTCAGGCAGTTCAATGTTCAGGTAGTTCAGTGTTCAGACAGTTCAGTGTTTCAGGCAATCAGTGTTCAGGCAGTTCAGTGTTCAGGTAGTTTAGTGTTCAAACAGTTCAGTGTTTCAGGAAATCAGTGTTCAGGCAGTTCGGTGTTCAGGTAGTTCAGTGTTCAGATAGTTCAGCGTTTCGGGCAGTTCAGTGTCCAGACAGTTCAGTGTTTCGGGCAGTTCAGTGTTCAGGTAGTTCAGTGTTTAGACAATTCAGTGTTTCAGGCAATCGGTGTTCAGGCAGTTCAGTGTTCAGGTAGTTCAGTGTTCAGACAGTTCAGTGTTTCAGGCAATCAGTGTTCAGGCAGTTCAGTGTTTAAAGCAGTTAAGTGTTTCAGGCAATCAGTGTTCAGGCAGTTCAGTGTTCAGGCAGTTCAGTGTTTCAGGCAATCAGTGTTCCAGGCGGTTCAGTGTTTCCAGGCAGATCAGTGTTTCAGACAGTGTTGGGTCTCCGGCGGTAATGGTATTTTGGATTTTCATGAATAACCTGGGGAGTGACAAGTCACTCATAGCACGATTATCCGAGTTATGGCCAAGTATAAGTGGATCGCAGGGATAAGTGGATCTGTGAATTCTGCTGTTCTAGTGGGAATCTGGAGTAGTTAGCATGTAAGGAATGGTAAGGAATGATTTCGAGGATGGAATCAAATTTAAATGGCTGGAGTAATGGATAGCGTGAAAGGTATGTTCTTCGCAGTGGCAGAGGAGATGGTTAGTTATGGAGAGTTGCCTTGGGGAAGCCAGAAAACGCTCAAGGAAAAGAGGGTGAGCCCCTAGAATGTTCATCATAAGTACTCGGGGAGTACCAGATGGATGGTCAGTTGGGTAAGATGTGTTCTCAAGATTGTTGAGAATTAAAGTGCACTTGAGGATTGTTATCTGTGATGATTAGTTTTAGTCTGAATGACCGGGTGAAAGGTCAATGGAACTGGCCAGCGGGAGTTAGACTCTTCCGGTAGCAGTGTTGAAAGCAGATTGCAGAACAGTTGGACGTAGCGGACTTCGAGGACGAAGTATAGTTTAAGTGGGGGAGAGTTGTAACACCCAGAATCAGGAAGACCAGGAAAGGAAAGAAAAGCCCCAAGTCAAAGGATTCAACTCATCGAGTCCAAGGAGGAACTCGACGAGTCGGAGCGTGACCCGTGTCGCGGATTAAGTGACCGACTCGGCGAGTCTGGTCTGGGTTGGGAAACCCTAATTTCGGGACTTTGCACCCTATTTAAGCATCTCATTTTCATTTCTAGGGTTTCATTTACAGCCCCCACTGTCCAGAGCGAAACCTTAATGTCCTCCATGGAAGTGTGAGCTATTATTGTGTGTTCTTGAGTGATTTGAAGTCTAGAAGAAGAAGAAGGAGTTGGAAGAGCTAAGGAGTGATTGTAGATCCAGAAGGAGTCCCTCTTCCTAATCACTTTCTGGTAATCAAGCTCTTACCTTGATCTATGGTTTCTTAGATCTCTTCATGTTCCTTTTATGAGACTTTTGGGACCATTCCCAAGGCCAACCCGAGTATTGAGCCTTTAAGGACGAATAGAGATTAGATATGAGCATTTCTGAGCTCTAGAAGCTCTGAGTGAGAAGCTTTACTCAGCTATGGCTTCCTTTCATGACTTAGACCTCCATTATAGCTTGATTTTGGTGTTCTAGCCTCATAACCCCTTGCATGCACGTAAAGTCAGCAACTTTACGTGCAATGCTAGCATAAGGAGTCCAGATCTATGAGTTGGAAGTGTTGGAATAGACTGAAATCGACAGAATAGAGTTGTCACAAGGAGGACTCGGCGAGTCAGCTCATGAACTCGGCGAGTCGGGTCGCAAAAACCCCAAACCCTTCTGTTTATGAGTCGGATCAGTGAGTGGGGTTAGAAAAGGACTCAGCCAGTCTGTGTCTGTGATGGACATGAAGATCATGGTACTCGACGAGTTCAAGGAGGAACTCGGCGAGTCCAAGGCAATCTTCTTAGCTGATGAAGATGAACTCGGCGAGTTGTAGAACAACTCGGCGAGTCGGTTGAAGATAGTCCCGAAGTGTTAGATGAAGGAGAACTCGTCGAGTTCTCGCTACACTCGAAGAGTGGAGTCAGGGTTGTTTGGGATTTGAGGAGCATGGACTCGGCGAGTTGGTAGAACAACTCGGCGAGTCGAGTCAACTGGAAGGTTGACTTTGACCAGGACCTTGACCAGAGTTGACTTAGTTGACCTCTGGAGGACAGTTTAGGCTAAGTTCCATTATTTGGTGTTGGTAGCTCGGTGAGCTAGGAGAGCAGCGCTTCAGAGAATAGTCGATTAGCAGCTAGAGGATTATCAGCAGAGTTCAGCAGTACAGGTGAGTTTCCTTCCAGTAGGAACAGGTCTACGGCCACAATGCCGACCCGTTTAGTTAGCAGTAGTTCCGGACTTCGGTCTGATGCAGTAGTTCAGTGTGCTTGAGGTCTTTGTGATTCAAGCATGTCTTTGTGTTATGTGATCCGCACATCGGTCCGATGCAGTATGCAGTATATGTGTTATGTTAGTAGCTATGATTATGTTATGCTATGTTCAGTCAGTTTCCGGACTTCGGTCCGATGCAGTCTCCGGACTTCGGTCCGATGCAGAGGGCAAGGCCCTGGTTAGTTCCGGACTTCGGTCCGATGCAGAGGGCAAGGCCCTGGTTAGTTCCGTACTTCGGTCCGATGCAGTTAGTCCGGATTTCGGTCCGATGCAGTGGGCAAGGCCTAGTAGTTGCTTTATATGTTATGTATGGTATGTGGTAGTTTGGGGGAGCTCACTAAGCTTTGTGCTTACAGTTTTCAGTTTTGGTTTCAGGTACTCAGTTTTCAAAAGAGGAGCTCGGGAAGATTGCAGTGCACACACCATTTGTTCAGCTTGGGATGTTTATACTCTGATATACTTGACAGTTGTTATAATATTTTGGGATACATTGCTTATGATTTTTATACGAGGTTTATCGACCATGGTTTTTATTATTAAATTAAACGAAATTTTCAGACTGTGTTTTTGGGGTGTTACATAAAACACCTGAACCTATCTCTCTCTCTATCTCTCTCTCTCTCTATATATATATATATATATATATATATATATATATATATATATATATATATTATATATATATATATATATATTATGCATCTTTTTTTTGTTTGCATAAAGTTATAATGAAGTCAATACCAAAGAAAATAATTGCTATAAATTACCGGTAATTTGTAGAATCAATCAAAATCATAGACAAATAGATTGCCACTCATGCCACGACTCATCCATGTACTTGTCACGTGCTTGTTTTGGCCCCTTATTCCCTTTCTCTATCATTATACGTATATTTTTCCATTTGTGACGTTATTAACCTTTTTTTTTGTGTGTAAAATATGAGGACATGATTTTGGCTGCTTGTGGACTTGTGGTAGGATCGTAAACAAATTCAACGTTCAAAGAATCTTTCGTGAATCGTTCAGCGTAAAGTTCATTTATGTTCGTTATTTAATAAACAAACTAATTAACACGAAGAATGGTCTCGTTCATTCAATTATATTTTGTGAACGTTCATTTATATTCGTTGATTATATTATAATGTATTATATTATACAATTGATGAGAGTGAAAATAAAGTTTTTAAAAGTGATTCATGTTTGCAACTTAGAGACTTGTTAAATCTTAGTACGGTCAAAATATTAGAAGGTTTGAAGTCATGTTTTACGATTTTTTATTTGAATATCGATGTTCATTCATCTTCTTTATGTTTGTTCATTTATGATTGTTAATGTTCGTTCATTTATCATCTTAACAAATATAAATGAACGAACACAGACAATATAATTTATTAAATGAAAAAATACAAACAAGAAATTTTGTTTATTTATCCTTTCATGTTCATTCGTTTGTTCGATTAACTTAAGTGAATGAACATGAATAAACAATTGTTTGTGTTCTTTTTATTACAGCCCTACGTTGCAAGGACAAAATGTTTATAAAAAATCTAAAAGAAAAAAATTATAGGATATTTATTTTCGTCATTTTTAACATCTAGAGATATATATCAAATATACATAAACCAAACCCTTCATAAAAATATCATTATTTTGGGCTAGTTAACGGTAAATTCCCAAATTATTATTTTTAAACATAAAATCACAGACAACCAAATAATTTATTCACTTTAATTCATTTTATCATTTTCGCAACCAACCCATGTGGCGCACCAAGTAAGACATAGATTGTTGACAAATGGGAGGGGAGGGTTTCGAGTGCATGCCCTCCCCTACACAAACCATGAATCTTACCGGTAGGCTACACCCTCTTTGTTGTCTTTCTTTCTGAAACTTTGTCAACTTTGTCTATATTGTCTAAAATATTGAAAAATTAAATACAACTTCTTCTTGGAGATAGATGAAACTGAGGTTGAAGACATCTTCTGTTTGGAGAAAACTAGGGCATCCACATTATTTGATCGATTCGTGAATTAGGTTACTGATATAAGTAAAAGACGAGACACATATGATAACACATCATTAATGATTATCTCATGTAGGATGCTGTGAGCAAAATCTGAAGAAACCGGTCATAAGGGTTAAATGTATACAAAAACATTAATAACTAAATGTGTACAAACCGAAAATTATATTACCCTATTAAGTCATTTTTTCAGCTTAACCTGAAGTAGCTGGTTATAAGGACTGACTGTGGACAAAACAACAAGTTAAATGTTAAACGTGGATAAAAAAAATAGCAACTAAGATTATGTGATATAATGGTGAGTTACAATGAAACCTATCGGGATCAATGACCAGCACCAGGACTATGTCCTGGTGTTGTGGGACGAAAATCCTTTTCGGTTGTGAGATTTCTTACAGGGTAGCTGTCTATTGAGATTCGAGCATGACTTCTGCTTAAAACCCGTTGTTGGGTTGGTGCACCACCGATACGGGTCGTGATTGTTTTGGTTCTTGTTGGTCTTCCTTGACTTGTAGTGAAAAATAATGGCACTAATAAAAATAACGACATAAGAAATGCAAATAACTTCATGTTGAATGCCATGACAATTGAGGGTGTGAGAAGTGCAAATTAAAAGATGCTAAATATGTTCCATGTATATATAGGCAATGGTAATGGAAATGGACCAAATACACCTTCTCACTTCATAGACGCAACTATTATGTATTTCGTTTTCCAAACCCAATAGATAATTCAATAAAGATATTAATTATTTATTATATAATATATAATAAAAATTACAAGAGTCGTTGTATTATATATTTATTCCAACTACTTGATCGTGTATGTGTGAAATGTCTTATTTGATATGGCAAATTTATCTCAAAAGTCTTGAAATTTTGGTAATATTTACGAAACACTGACTTTGTTTTTTTGAGCATAAACAAACAAAAAAGTAGCAACTATTTACATAAAAGAATAAAAACCAATAATCATTTACTTATTTGAGACTTCAGATGTTAATCTTGCATTTTAGCTGGTAATCTTCAAAAAAAAAATATCTATATCTCGGTTTATTAACGGTACAATCATTGATTTCTTTTTCAACGGATAATGACAAGAGCTATAATTTTACTCTAATTTTATTTTATTCTCTATGTCTAACATATGATATTATTTTACTCTAATCTTATTATAATCTTTTTGTCTGACAAATATATTACCATACTCTAATTTTACTATACGTCTATGTATTACAGATGATATTATTTTATTATAATATTGGACAAACATAAAGAAATTAACAACTTCTAAAGAAAAGATGATGACTTAAAACAACAAAACATGCAAAAAAAAAAAAAAAATAGGTCACTTGTAAATCACGGTCATTAGATGAATTTTATCCAATAGTCAAAATAAAGTTATTTCACAATGAGTTGGGGATTTTGATAGCATCCATGGAGGTGCAATCCCTTAGACAGTCTCGTATACGATAAGATCTTTCAAAACTTTCTTACTTCCTTCCATGTCCATCTCTGCATAGACACTTTTAGCTACCCATGGCCACTTCCGTCAGGAACATTTTGAATTTCTTTCTTTTCTAATGGCTCTCTTCCTACTGCCTCTCTTGCTTAAAGAGGTCAGTCCACCGCATGTTTGTCTTCCAGTTCCATGACTCCCAAACTTTGGGTCATTGATTCTACCCCCGCTTAGGTTAGCTGTGTTTCCTTAAATATCGGGTTGCCAATGATTATTACTTTATTTGGAAGAAACCGAAAACCAAATTAACCCGAAACCGAACCGAAACAAACCAAATTTCAAATTTGGTTTTTGGTTTGCTTACAAACTAAATCAAATTAAGAATTTGATTTATGGTTCGAGTTATGGTCCGGTGGAGTTCAGGCCAAACCGCTAAACCAAACCGAATTACTAAATTCAATTAATTAATTTTTTAACAATTAAATATTTTATTGTTGTTCTGAAAAAATAATAATGATTAAATGTTATTATTCTTTATACTTTAAAAAGTAGATTAAAAAAATAAAAATATATTTTGATATAACTTTTTAATTCCAAAACCCCAAATGTTCTCTCCTTTGACCTATTCTTCGTTCGATTGTCACTATATCTGGTGTATGAGACTTTGGTCACTTCCTAATCCATCTACCCACCGTCCAATGTCATCTAAAGTCTGAAGTGTGAACTTTAGACACATATGTTGGTGTTTTTATCCTTTAAGGCTTAAGCAACTTTCAGTCCTTACTCCTAGTCCTTTTTCAGTGAAACAAACCCAAGCCTTTTCTGCCTTCCATCCTGCGTTTCCCTGCTTCAGCTTGAGACTTAGTCATGAAGTGTGTCATCCTAGAGGTGACATCATTCTCAACTTGTTACGGAAATAGTTTTTATATGAATCAAACAAAATAAACAATTGCTTAATCTCAACATCATAAAGTCAACAACTTATTATTCTACACTTCTACTTAATTTTTTGATATACATAATGCACCAATGCTACGAAAAGCCAATTTATCCGAGAGCTTTATTATGTAGGCATGTGTATTTAATGTTTGAAACTTTATATATTTATATTTGAAACTCCGAATTTTATGTTTAGGAAATTGATACGTTGAATTTTAATTTTAACCTACAATTTGGTTGGTTTTCTCGATTTTCAAACCAAACCAGATTGTTTTAACTTAGTTTGAGTTGCCTTGAATTTCATATTTGATAACCTTAAATTATCCTCTTTTGTAATGAATTCCAATCAACCTTTGATAAACAATATGCTTATAACATCTAAAAATAATAATAATGTTATACACGTTTTACCGTTTATACGACTACCAACCAAAGCGAAGCTAAAAAAAATGTAATGGATTGCATACACATGAACTCTACATGCTAGACAAAAAACAATTAAAAAACATATAACAATATAAATATAAAATGAATGATTTTCTTCATATAATTTCCTTTAAGAATAATTACGATGAAGATATTTTTAAATGTAAGAGGTACGGTTATCTATAATTAATTATCACATTGTTCATCAACCATATATAAAAGAAGTCACGTCTGTCTTGAAATAGAATGATCGCAAGTTTGTGACATGAAGTATGGTTTCGTACAGACTTGACTAATTATTGGAGTGTCGCATGTATCTATGTAACGTACACTTTAATCATATCAATTTTAAAACATAAAAGACAAAGTTCCCAACACCAAAAAGCAACTACAACTAAGTTATATACATGATGATCTTCATCAAAACGACAAAACCCAATAAAAGAAAAAAAATGATATATTGGGATATGATAAATTTACAACAAGGTAGGATGAGGGATTGTGATTGTATGTAAAATAATGAAAGATTTTAGTACCTGTTGTTTTGTTATTTACACTCAGTGACTCTTTGGATGATGATTATGTTTTATGTATACCATAAATGATAAAACTATTATGATATACATAATTCTTCATCGATATGATGATGCTGCTCTAAGTTTGTGCAAAAATTGCAAAGTTTCACTGTAAGAAGGATCTGTTCGGGTGATAGGCTTGCATGAATTAACATGATCTGTCGACTCCAACACCTGCCAACAAGTCATGCGTGTCCAAATCAGCATCACTTTTCTAGAAATTACAAGGGTAAAATAGTCATTTGCTAAATAAAAAACTTACAACAAGTTCCCCATATCCAGGATATGCAGATTCAATTGGCACTATTTCCAATCGAAAAGCCCATCCACCGTACCCTTCAACTATTGGAGTCACTTTTGTCTGCAAAAAACAACAACATATTAGTATTTCTTATTATAGCATTAATACTTTGAAAATTCTACCCAAGTATAGCAGTGAAAATTGTTTTGTATTTGGATGACATTGTTATAATATAAATATAAATGAAGTGCATGAAGAATTTAAACAAGCACCTCACAAAAACTAAGAACATCAAGAGATCCTTTTTTATGTAGCTCGTGAAGAAAATCATTAAGCTCCACTAATCTTGTGGACCCACTTCTCAACTCTCCTATCTGACAAAACAAAAGTAATCATACTTAAAAGCAAAATCATATAACTTTTCTCTAACTGATTGCTTCTTCATAATATCCAAGAGAAAGTGATAAATTGTTGTACTTTATTCTTCAATTAGTTGACAGAAAAATAAAAATAAAAATAATAAAAAAAGTACCGATGGTGCAGGGCGAAAGACATAACCCATTCGCCAGGGCATATCTGCAAGTTTGCTACCAAAATGTGGGCAACTGTAGAACACCTAAAACATGGGACAACTTAATAATAATAATAATAATAAACATTGATTGGAAGTAGTGATAAATTATTATACTTTATTAAATCAAACATACCACACCAACAGTGTTTTTGACAAGATTGCCTCTGTTTTCTGCACTTGCTTGATGTAGCATCTGTTTCACAACCAAGCCCCCCATGCTGCAATACAATACAAATATATTATTAACAAGAATACCAAAATGGTTAATAGAGAAATTCTTCTCTTTTTTCCCTTTCATTTTTAATTAAATATTTCAACCTATGAGTTACAAATACAACTGGTCGATCTCCAATACGTGCTGCAATAAGCTTTTCCAACAGCATCGAGCTAACTTCCTACAAAATTTCACATTCCAACATTAAAAAATCTTATTTACATTTCCAATAACCAAAAATCTCCAAATCTCATTTATTTAAATATATTTCTAATAATACACCACAAACCTGAAGAGGCAAGCTTGATCCAGACCATTGTGTAAGATTCGTCTGCAAAACAAAAGATATAACTCAAACTTCATTTACAATTTACAATCATGTTCATACAAAAACAGAAGAAGAATACAATTTATAATTTTATATAATCACAAACCTTGTACTTAAGACTAAACAAACGTGCATGAGGGAAATCAGTAGAAAGCCACTCTCCAGGCCAAAAAGTCCCTTGTTTTCCTGCCTCTTCATCAATCTTTTCCACAAGCCCAGATTTAGAAGATGACTTGTCTTCAGATAATCTCCAAGTCTTGTAGGGCCCACCACGAAGCCCATGAACAAAAATAACATCAAGTGAAGGACTCTCTAATCCACCTTCAGAATCATTATTATTATTCCTTCCTTTTCCAGAGCATTCCCAGTGACTCATTCCAGGGTTAATCAAAAAAATCGTCTCACCATAACGAGCACAACCATGATTTTTAGAGCCATTATTTCCATCTCCATCATCATCATCATCATTACAGAAGATATTCAACAATGTTGCTCTAGCATAGCTTTGAGTTTTAAGATCACTACATATCTTTCCATTTGCACATTCATCAAGCCAATTACACCAATCTTTATCTTCCAGTATCATTTTTTTAACTTTTGGATGAACTGAAAGCACCATTAACAATCGAGCTGCATGTCTGCGGACATGAGCTGTAGGTGGGACCCGGACACTAGACGGGTCCCGGGCATCAACAACAGATGAATCGCCATGATCCTTGGCTTCCATGTCTCTTGATGCATCATATGCTTCAATTGCTGATAACTTCTCATAATCATCACTTAATAAAAAGCGGCGTAACAGAGGAATTATACCATAATCGATTATT